CCTGGATGCCTACGGGACATGGGGGAGGTGGCAGTGGGGTCACCAGGACTGCGGAGACAGTGCAAACCCCACGCACGCCGCCCGGCAGCCTCGGCGAGCACGGAGGCTGGCCTGGGGGAGGGGCCGCGAAGGTGCCAGAGGCACAGCTGGCCCAGGGACCTGTCTTCAAGGCTGTCTTGGATTTTTGCTCGGTCGATAGACATGTTTATTTTTTTTTAAAAAGGAACGATAGGCCCTTTTATGAGGCCATGTGGCTGGCTTCGAGTGTGCTTCTGGGATGCACCCGTCACTGGTGACCGATACATACACAGTCACCTTCTAACAGCACAGGCACCGGTGAAGCTGGGCGCCCTGGGCCCCCTGGGAGGCCGGAGCTGAAGATGGAGCAACAGGATCTCGGCTCGGTCCCACAGCGAACCATCTGGGGACGCTGAGCCGCCAGGGCCCCACTCCAGACCAGTTCGGATTGGGGAGCCCCCCGGACATCGGGGGACCGGCACCCTCCCTGGCACTGTGCTGCGCAGCCAGCGTCGAGAAGCATCGCACTGGGCGGTCGGTGTGTGAGGGAGCCGAGGCCCGGAGAAGGGACCGGAGTGTGGAGCCCAGTCCAGTCGCTCCTCACGATGAGCCACAGCCGGATTCTTTTTATTTTTCCGCTTTATTGATTTATCGTTAATAATTAATTTTTTATGGCGCCCTTGGTTAACGAGCTCCGACGAGTCCAGCCGTGCGCTTTAACAGCGAGGCACATATATGTGTGTACACTGTGCGTTCACCTCCCCGACTTAGGTTTCTTTCTGTCGCCACATATTTGATCCCCCGTATCCCGTCTACCTCCCCTCTCCCCACAAAGGCAGGTTCTGGGTCAGCCCTCTGAGGCTTCTCTTTGTTGTGGTTTTGCCGTAGGTGAGGAGCACACTTCAAAATGTCAGTGCCCAAGTCCCTTTAAGAAGCAGATTTCTGGAAAAGGCCGTGATCTAAGTCCCCAGGCCCAGGCGCCTCTCCATGGTCCCCTGGTGGCCAGGACTGTCATGTCTGTGGCCAGCTGAGGCAGGCGCGGGTGCCTTGTCTTCCCACGGTGGCCCGGCGTGCTGGTGTCCTGCATGTCCTCGGGAGGCCTGGCACAGCCCTGCGGTCCACCCCCTGCGAGTCCCCAGCCGGTGACACACACACCAGAGACATGTTTTTTGCAGAGCTCGCTGTAGCTGGGGGCCGTGTGCCCAGTGCACCTGTCGGTTTCGTGTGGGCAAATCCAGACACACGTGCCCGCGGCCCCCTCCAAGACGTGGCTGCCCACGGAACCAGCCACGGAAGCTCACAATTCTTTGTCCAACCCACCGAATTTGCCACAATGCGACTCAAATCTATAGCCAGGCTTTCCGACAACACCATTTAATCACGTTTCACACACAAGACTTCAGGGTGTTCTGGTCTCTCTTTGAAAATTTTAGATTTCCTCTTTTTGTTTAAAAAAAAAAAAAGGAACAATTTGCGATACAAATTTCAAGACATTTAGAAAAATTGTTTTATTTAGACGAACGGTCTCAGGCCTCGTAGACTCGCCTGGGGGATGTGAAACACCGTCCCCCACCCCACCCCCCAATTCCGATGCGAAGGCTCCGCTGGACGCGCCCAGGCTCTCCTTGCCGGGTCTGACGTGTGACCTGCCGCCGCTCCTGCCCGGGACGCGGGGCTCTGAGCCCAGGATTTCTCCCGGGGACCGGGTGCCGTAGCAAGTCCGCTGCATTTATTAACGCAGTGACGTTTGAGGGGGGACATGTTTTTGGAACCTTCTCCTAGCTGTCCGTGACCTTTGCCCTCACCTTCACAGCCTCATTGCCCGCAACGGGGACTTGCAACCCTGGTGCCCTCGGGAGCCTCCTGGAGGCTTTGGAAAGTGGCCGGTGCCCGGGAGCCACCCCAGACTGACTAAATCGGAGTTGGGGGGTTCCTGTGCAAGTGTGCGGGTCACGCTCCCCACCACGCGGCCGAGGCCGAGAGCGATAGCATCGGGAAGAGGGGGGCGGCTTGTCGACGTCAAGTGAGGGTCTCGTTTCTCAAAATCCCGTGTCTTCGAACCCAGACTTCTGCAATTCAGCGGCGTTACGTACTCGTAGTTGGAACAGACGGGGCTCGGTTTTGTGAAGCTGATATGGTTTTGCGATTTGATCCGATCAGTGTTTTTTGAGCGACCGCCATCCGCGAGGGAGCCGAGGTCGAAAGCGCCTCCTGGGCGCTGTTTGTTGGTTTGGTCGCTTTGGGTCAGGACGGATATGTGAGTCTGGGTCCCAGCGGGAAAGCGGTGGCGCAGTCCAGCTGGACACCTGAGCAGGATTTCACAGAGGGACTGCTTGTCGTGATATGGCCGCAGCCGAGGGAGGCCAGCAAGGAGAGGCGCCGTCCCCTGGGGCTGGCCAGTGGGGACCCCAGCGTTCCTAGGCCTGGGGGGAGCAGGGGCTCCTCTCCGCAGCCAGCCCTGCGGGAACCCCTTCTGCACCAGATAAGGCTGGTCACGTTCCTGTCCCGTGCAGCCAACAGTCCCCAGTGATACAGAAGCCGGGGCTGGGGGCGAGGCGGCACGGCCGGCAAGCGTCCATTTGGGACTGGGTAAATGGGGTGGGCGCTGGTTGGAGCCCCTGGGTCTGGCTTGGAAGGCCGGTGATCCCGTGGTTCGACATGGCTGCCCCAGTGTCTGGGGACTCAGCCTAAAGGCTCAGCATGGCTGGCACTTCCAGCAGCAACCTGGATAATGGCAGGACGTGTGGTCCCCACGCTTGTTGTGACTGTCTGGGGTCAGGACTGCCGTGGGAACGAGGCAGGGTGACATAGCAGCATGTGCCCTCCTGGGACCACGTGGCGTGCTCTGTGCGCGCTGTTAGTCAGCTAGGGCTGCCATGACCACGTGCCACAGACTGGGTGGCCCAAACAGCAGAAACTTGTTTTCCCACAGTTCCTCTGGAGGCTGGAAGTCCGAGGTCGAGGTGCTGGCAGGTTGGTCCCCGAGGCCTCTCTACACTGCATGTGATCCACCTCTGGGCAGTGACCCAGGTGTCCCTCCCTGTGTCCCAACCCCCTCTTCATATGAGGACACCGGTCAGGTTGGGCGAGGGCCCGCAGTGACAGTCTCTTCAAAGTCGTCTCTCTATGGTCACATGCTGAGGTCCTGGAGTGGGGCTTGGACACGGGAAGTTGAGGGGAGAGTGGGCAGTGGCCGAGGTCTTGCCGGGCCTGCGGGAGGAGCCAAGGTCGCATGGCCGTGGGGGCCCTTGCAGCCCAGCGCCCATGAGAGTCCGTGCGGGGCCAGTCCGTCCTCCCCCGCGTCCTTCAGACACCCAGGCGGACTCCTCCACCTTGACAGGTGACGGCTGCCTCTCCTTTCAGACTCTTTGCCCGCGGTGGCTCAGGTTTGCACGCAAGGACACCGAAGGCCCTGGGTTCTTGGATGGCCCCTGGGCGTTAGGGGGACTCTTAGAACCTTAAAATGGCTTTGCACTGAAGGCCCTGCTGACCGGTGTGAAACCATGAGGTCGAATGCAGAGCCACACCCCAGGGGACTGGAGGGGACCCCCCTCCTCTTTGTCCTTTCTGCCCTTGGCACCTTCCAGCAGCCCCAAAGCCCTGCCCCAGCCAGCTGCTTGGGGCACAGGAATAACCTCAGCCCAAACGCTCGTTCCCTCTCTCGCTCATTCCCTCCCTCCCTCCCTTCATTTTATTGCTCATTTCCCAAGTCACCCCTCCTCCCCTTCCACTCCTATCTCTTTCAAGGCTTAATTTCCATATCTGGAGACAGTGGGTCTTTGTAAGTTAATGTCTGATCTATCAAAAAAATTAGCATTTACCAAACACAGTCATGCAAAGCCCTTAGGGCTGTTTGCTCCTCCAGCAGGCTCCTTTCCTCCTTGTAATTCTTACTTGGAGTATCACCTTCTCACGGAAATGGGGACCTTACCGCACCCTCCACGACCCTCTGCGGTCGGAGGGGTGCACAGAAGAATACTCAACACTTTTTGAAGGAAGCAGTGGAGCTTTTGAGAATAAGATACTTCTGTGCGGCGGAGGCCTGCGGTTAGCGCTACAGAAGCTCGAGGCCCGTGACCTAGGCCAGAGGCGGGTTTGCCGCCAGCGCTTCATGTGCCACTAGGTCCCCCTCACGCCCTCCGCCCTGGCTGTCCCCTCGGCTTGGCAAGCCAGTCCTGCAGATACCGATGTGCCACCTCCCTCATCTCTTCAGATCTTTGCTCGAATGCCAACTTCTCAACTTAAAATCGTGCCCACAGCCTTCCTGGTTTCCTTAGCACAGGGCATCCCCATGACCTGGGGACCTGGCACTCCTGGCTGACCTAACCCTTCCCGTCTCTGTCGTGTCTGGTTTCGCCTTTCTGTGTCCCCTGCCCAGAGTGTCAGCCAGATGAAGGCAGGGCCCCTGTCACCCAGGTTCCCCGAGGCCCCTCAGTGCCCGGCATGCTGTCCCCGCCTGCTGTCCCCGCCCGTCTCAGCAGCCCCGGCACCCCTGAGGGTCCCCAGTGAGCTTCAGGGAGTGAACTGACTGATCCAACCTCAAGGCTCAGCCCAGCCCTGGCCTCAGGGGACTGACTCCTGAGCTTCTGAAACGGGACTGCAGGGGGTGGTGGGAGCAGCCAGGAAGGGCTCGGGTGTGGGGGGGCAGTGGCTGAGGGACCCCTGTTTGCAGTGAATCGGGGGTTCGGCGCACCCACAGGGCAGGATGCGCTCAGAGTTGCTGTCTCTTTTCAAAACCGCCTCCCAGCCCCACACGTGCCCACTGGAGTGAGCCTCACGCGGGTGTCTCTGATGACCCAGTGGCTGAGCTGGACGTGGACGGGAGGAGCTCGGGTGTCAGGGCTGAGTCGGCACAGCCCAGGGAAGGGGAGCACCTCAGGCCGGGCCCGGGGCACCGGGCCCTCACCCCCCTCGCAAGCCGTGGCTTTCCATCTGCTCAGCGGGAACAGTAAAGCCTGCCTGTCCCCCTTTCTGCCTTTGAGGATCAAGCCGAGTGATGCATATGGACACGTGCGGAAGGAGCACAGAGCCAGCTGCGGAGAGACAGTGTCCTATCCCAACGACACTCACGGGTGAGACTTCTGAGCAACTCTTTCGAATCCTGTTTGTTTTCTCAAATCCTATTTGTTTCAAAAAATAACAAAACAAATCCGGGCCTGCCCTCAAGAGAGTGGACGTGTGCTGTCCAGCGTCGCACACCGCCCGTCCCTCGGCTCAGCCGTTCCCTCCCGCGGTGGCTTGTCCTCACGTGGGGCGTGCCGCCCGGCCGAGCGCCCTGCAGCTGGCACGACCCTGGCGTGGCTAGGGACGAGGCCGCAGCCTGGGGAGGGGGACCGCGCAGCTTGGCCATGAGGAGCCATCGCCTGTCTCCAGTGGGGGACCAGGGGGGACAAAGCGATGTTGGGGTCTGAGTGGGGGGCAGTAGGACAGGAGGGAGACTCGTGTTTGTTGGACGTCTCTGCCGGGCCAGGGGCCATCGTTGCCTTCCACCTGCATCTCTCCAAGGGATCATCAGTCTGACTTTAAGAAGGAAGAAACAGGGGCTCAGGGAGGTCGCTCACGCTCCAGCCCCACAGCTCGCCAGTCGCTGGCGGGACTGGCGTTGGAGCTCAGGTCCGTCCGGGCTCAAAGGCCAGGCCTTTCCGCGACACCGTGTCCCCCGCATTCGCAGAGCGCTGGAGGGACGCTAGGGACAGCCCCGCCCCTCAGATGTGCGACCTCGGTTTAACCGGCGCCCACCCGTGGCTACTCGGTCCCTCGGTGCGCGGTTGTGAGCCGCGCCGTCTGAATGGTGCAGGATGTCGCACCACGCGAGGGGCGGCTCCCGGGTTCGCGAACCTCTGGAGCCACTCCTGACCCGTGGACATTCTGGCCCCGTCGCTTGTGCGGTCACGGTCCCCCCTCCAGCTCGCCGTCTCTGCGCCCTTGAAACGTCCTCCCTGCGCCCTTGAGCTCTTCTACACACACACACACTGTCAGTCTGGCTCTAAGACGCGGTTCGCCTCCTCCTCCGGGAAGTCCTCCCCCAGCCTCAGCTGGCCGCGTGCCGCCTGGCTGCCGGGCGCAGGGCAGCTCCGTTTTCCCACGGGCTTCGGAGCTTCTCCTCAGGGCGGTTTTTGAGGGTCGAGCTCGTGGCTCTCACATGCTTGTTGTCCCTCACGCCGCTTCATGAAGTGGGACCCATGCGCCAAACGCTCAGAAACGTCCACCCGGGCTTCTGCTTCCTCGTGTGCAGCAGGTCATGGGAAGGGGTGGTGGCTTTTCCAGGCGGAGCTCGCAGCCGCCTCTGCCCCTCCTGGAGGAGGTGGCTCCCGGCCTGAGCTCCGACCCTGCCTGGCGTGAGCCTGGCGTGAGCCGTCGCCCCCTCCCTGCACCTGGCCAGATGGCTCTGCCCCGCAGGCCCCTCTCGGCGGGGCTCCCCGCCCGAGAACCTGGCCTCTGTCACCTTCCTGCCTCTGGGTGCTGGCTCACGCCCCGGCTTGTCTTCCAACTTCCTTGGGCGCACAGTAGGTGCTCAGTTCGTAGGTTTTACCGGAACTAGACGTGGACCTCAGAGAAGGGTCGGATGAAGTCTGCAGCCCAGATGGCAGAGCTCCCCGAGCTGCTCTGCAGGTGCAGGTCCCCAGGGCGGGGAGGTGGCAGAGACGGCATGGCCGCACGACTCGACCCTGCCACCGGGGTGCGTCGGCTCCTGGCGTGCCCTTCCCTGATGACGGCAGCAGACTTTGGTCACCAGGTCGTCCTGAGCGCGGCTGTCAGTGCGACCTCTGGTTCTGCCCCCGAGCCCGTCGCTCAGGCCTCGGCTTAGACGGCCCGACCCGGGCCTTCCCCCGCCCCGAGTGGTGTCGCGAGCCACGTGCCCTGTTACTGTCCTTCCTGGGCCTTCTGACGCCTGGACGTGGATCCTGCCTGTTGTGTCCTGGAGGGTCGGCCCACGCGGGCAGGGGACAGTCACTCCCGTTCGCCTGCGCGTCCCCAGCTGGCACGTGACGGTGCTCGGGAAACTCGGGCCTCCTTTCTCCCCGTTTCTGCGGCAAAGAGCAGGTCGTCGGAGCCGGCGCCAGGAACAGAAGGCGCCTGCCAGCCTGAGAGACCTCCTCCCAGCCTGAGGGCCCTCCTCCGTGGTTTTAACAGGGAAAAGGCGCGTGAGTGTCTTGAGAGAGGCTTCATTACTCAAAACCCTCTCCGTCAGAAGGAGAAAGATCTCGGGGCTGTGGGGAGGGACGGGTGCTGGTGACCTTTCCATCTGAGGCTGCAGCACGAACGCCCCACTTCTACCTAATGAACTGGTTTCGGGTGTCCCCTGCCTCAGCCGCTGGACACCCGGAACCCCCGGCCAGGGGACAAGTCCAGCTGTTCCCACGTGATGGCCAGGAGAGTCCCGGGGTGGGCATCCCCAGGGACAGCAGCCTGGTCTCGCCCTCCTTCCCGTGCCCACTCCGCCCCCCAGGGTCAGTGAGCACCAGATGGTTCCACAGCTGGCTGTGTCTCGGTCGTGGTCAGTGCGCCGCCCTGCGGCCACCGAGAAAGCTGTGAACGCGCTGGCCCTCCTCGCCCGCTGTGAGCACGAGGGCCGTGGACGTGAGCGTGTGTGTGGGAAATGAGGGAGGCCATGCTCGCTAACAACTGTTTTTGAGAGAAGTGCGGGGGGACAGAACCGAACAGGGAAAGGCAGGGGCAGGGATGGCGCATCAGGGGTGTCTTTCAATCACGAGGGGCGTCCAGAGGTCCAGGAGCCTGGGATCAAGGCAGGCCCGTCCCCGGAGCGGAGTTCACGGTCACTCGCCTTCCCGGGGGGCTGGGGGGCTTCCGGGACGAGGAAGAGGCGCAGAGACTTTTCCACGGACGCCCAGTGGGGCGCCGTAGGGTCTGGGTAGCCAGGCCCTGGCGCGGCAGCGGCGAAGCGTCCGCGTGGGGCTCCGTGGCTCATCAGCAGCCCCGGGCGGCAGGGGGCAGAGGTGGCAGCAGCAGGAGAGAGGGAGGTGCTGGCCACTGGTCGGATTTCTCCGCTACTTCTCTACGTGGACCGTTTGGTCTGAGCGAGCCCCGGGGCTCTTTAATTCTGGGGGGAGGAAGTCCCCAGAGAGAGATGCTACTGGCCGTCCTTCAACTTGGGCAGGCGGTGACCTCAACGATTAATGTGCATATAAAAAACGGTATAATTGTATTTATCTTCCAAACCGATGGCTTTAGTTTTTGAAAAGGAGGGGCGCAGCACCCGCCAAGTAACATGCGTGGGTCTGCGGCAGTGCCGTGCGGGTCGTGTGTCGGGGGAGGTGGCCGGAACCCCAAATCAATACGGTAATTGAGTTATTTCCGTCAAGCGTTTAAGGCTATT